GGTTGAGGTATAGAGATGATGTTTTTCTCCTTGTTTTGGCCATTCTGAATTATCATACCATGACTAGGAGCTAGATGCTGGCATGTTGGACTTTTTTTGCCTTCGTGCATGTAACGACCCAAATATTAAAGGTTTGAATCATTACCAAAACTATTTATAAGAAAAATCATAAATTACACAATGTTGCCTGCAATTATGTAGCAATAATTTACTAAATTTTATATAGAGAAATTTTCAGATCTTGTATTCATCTATTCTATTAAAAATAAAGATTTTTCCCAATATCACAATATATTCATACATGTTTGGATAGACCATACGAAAATCAATCTAAAACTTAATAATTAGGGACGCAATTTCGTAGAGTTCTAGAAATCATAAGAATGACAAATGAAAATGGATTGCTAACATTGTCATCCTCTAATTTATTATAAATCCAATTTCAAGCATAATTAAATACGTCAATTAGTACCACATAAAAATTAAAGTGCAAAATTAGTCATCTGACCTAAGAAACATCATCAATATCTTATTCCCCACTTTGGAGAAATTCCTTCATGTGAATTACAACTACTTTTATAATATCAATGAAATGTCCATATGACAATTAATTGATTTTCTATCCCTTTACAAGCATACACGTAGTCTTCATGCAAAATGGTCAGGTTACTCTCTGTCCTATTACTAGAAAATTCTGTTAAATTAACGAAAGAGTTAATTCAGTAGCAAAGAACACATCACCCAAATTAATAATAATAAGTCAGTGTCAACAAATCACATTACGAAAATACATAACCAAATAATTTATCTTTCAAATTTCCAATTAGATGTCCACAAAATAACGAAACTCCAGATTATTGCTGAAAATAAAATCTTGAGTAACATTACACTGAATTTGCTTTATTAAGTTCAATGAATCCCGGCATCACGCGTACGACTGCACCTCATCATCCGTCCACCAACGACCCATTCTAGGGAAAATGGTAAGTATATGAGAATACTCAGTAGGACATAAAAATATGGTGCAATCCAGAATAAAATATTTAATCATGCATCAAGAAAAATCATACCGTCATCATATATTTAGAAATCGGGAAGAACTCATATCATATCATATCATTTATACCGAAATGACCATAACATAACATCATATCTTTAACTTTCATAAGTATAAAATTTCATCAACGTGAAGGAAATATAATTTAATCGGGATAAATCAACTGCACCTATTTTCCTACTTTGTTAACTTGCTTTAATTTTGGAAGACAACAAAAAAATCACATTCCCTTTCTTTCTTTCTTTTCTGCCTCTGTTGTTTACCGTATAGTCACTCTGTTTCTTTTGAATCATGCTACAAGTACATCAACTTTGACATTGTGCTACGTGTCGGAGCATGATTGGACAATTTTTAAATACCACACACTTTCCCGTCCATTTGCGTTTGAATTCACATGAACCATGAAATGTACAACAAGCCAAATTCCTTTTTTTTTTTCTTTTGTGTGTGTGTGTCCCCTCCAATATACATGTATCTATATGTATAAGCAATAATAACCTATCCTCAAGAGCCAGCACGTAGTGGGAATCGTGTAGAATAAGGTGAGTTATTGGATAAACGTTGGGGGAAAACAGAAATTGAAACAAAAAATGTTGGACCAAGTGAACTCAATATAGAATTCGTACATGTGTCCAGAAGCAACCCCAAATTATAACATTTCCATACACGTGCAATACCTCCACTTTCATATTCAAAGTTATAAATAAATAAATAAATAATTAGCTTTTAACAATTTCTTCGATCTGCAATATCTTGGAGCTGACTTATTCAATTGAACTTTTTCTCGAGCCTGAATTATGTATTTAATTACGATCTATCAAACGAGACCAATATTCATAT